TTTCTGATTCAGCAGGCCTGGGTGAGGCTGAGAATGTACATTTCTACCAATTTCCCAGATGATGCTACTAGTTGGAAGAGTGTACTTTGAGGACCCCAGCACTAATGCCACATCGCCCTCCACCCATATGCTGGTTGCACTGAATTGCTCCCAGCCCCCCCAAAAAAAAAGTTTCATATGAAGGGGAAGGGCTTCAATTATGCATTATTGTATGGCCCATTTTAAATGGGGTGTATCCCAGACATTATTCACTGCAACTTTAAGGTTGTTGTAGTGAATTATTTCGGCCGTAGAACGGGTTTGGTTTCTAGGTTAAATACAGGGTCATGTTATTTTTATTGCATTTTTCATTGAAGCAGTTTATGGAAACTGTTCTGTCTTCTGTGTCATCACCTATACAGCAGGGGACTTAAGGGCCATCTGAAAAGGGTACCAAAACCGTTATTAATAAAGCTGAAAGTTCTCTGAGATTAGTTGCCTCCCTCGTCTACTTACCTTCTTGCTTAGATCTCATACGTTCGTTATTTCTTGTTTTTAAGAAGTTTATGATTTTGATGTGATCTATATTTCTAAGCTTAAGTCATAGGGAAGAATTAGTCTCTAAAAAGACTGTCCCCCTCACTTGACCTGTCGTCTCCACATCTTGTTCCCCAGTCCCTATCCACTGGTTGCCACCAACCTGTTCTCCATCTCTGTAATTATGTCATTTCATGAACACTATATAAATGGACTAATTCAGAATATGTCCTTTTGGGATTGGCTTTTTCACTTAGGATAATTTTCTTGAGGTTGTTGTGTGTATCAGTAGTTCATTTCCTTTTATTGCTAAGAAGTATTTTAAGCTATACATGCACCACAGTTGGCTGAATGATTCACCCACTGAAGGATATTTGGATGGTTTCCAGTTTGGGGCTATTAAGGAGAAAGCTGCTGTGAACATTCGTGGACAAGTTTCTGCGTGAAAACAAGTTTTCATTTCTCTGGGATAGATGCCCGAGAGTGCAATTGCTGGGTGCTAAGCCCATTTTTAGTTCTAAAAGAAACTGCCAAAGCATTTTCCAACGCGGCCGCCCCAGTTTACCATCCCACCAGCAGTACACGAGTGTTCCAGTGTCTCTGCAGCCACATCTGCACCTGTTGTCATGTGTCCTCTTGATTATAGCCGTCCTACTCACTGTAAAGTGATATTTCCTTGTTTTGATTTGCATTTCCCTAAAGACTAATGGTTAAGTATCTTTTCATGTGCTTATTGGCACTTTGTATATTTTCTTCGGAACAATGTCTATTCACATCCTTTGCCTGTTTTTATAAATTTATTTATTTATTTATTTTGACTGCATTGGGTCTTTGTTGCCGTGTGCGGACTTTTCTCTAGTCGTGGTGAGCGGGGGCTACTCTTGGTTGCAGTGCACGGGCTTCTCATTGTGGTGGCTTCTCTTGTTGTGGAGCATGGGCTCTAGGCACGTGGTCTCAGTAGTTGTGGCTCGCGGGCTCTAGAGCCCAGGTTCAGTAATTGTGGCACACGGGCTTAGTTGTTCCGCGGCATGTGGGATCTTCCTGGACCAGGGCTCGAACCCGTGTTCCCTGCATTGGCAGGCGGATTCTTAACCACTGTGCCACCAGGGAAGCCCCCGTTTGCCTGTTTTTAAGTTGGATTATTTGTCTTTTGATTGTTGGGTTGTAAGAGTTCTTTACCTTTTCTGGATAAAAGTCCCTTGTCAGATTTATGATTTGCAAATATTTTCTCTCTTCTATAGGTTGTATTTTCACTTTCTCGATGGGAGCTGGGGGTAGAGGGAGACCGGTCTTCTCAGCTGTACTCGCCTACGTTAGAACTTCTATTAGGTAGAGGTGTTGGGGGTTGGTGATGGAGCAGATCTCGGCTCAGATGCTCCAGACGTTCTCAGTTCTTGCTGAGATTTGGTAGATTTTCTTGAACGAATGTTTTTCCATTTGTCATCATGACCTTAGGACAATTTCCAGAAACTTTCAATGATGCTCTTATAATTTGTACCAGTTAAATTGTTGTTTTGGTGGGAAGAGTGTCCTCAGAATTCCCTAGTGTGTCATTCTGGAAGGCCAGGCTTCCACAGTGTACTTAATACAAATGCCCTCAGGAGATGTTACACCTGAAGTCCTCATCAGTCTTTTCTAGTTATCCAATGAGTCTTTGGTAGATCTAGCAGCTGAAGAAGCATTTTCTCTACACAACATCTGCAAGACTAGAACAGTGCCTGGAACATAGTATTTCTTAAAAGAATGATTGAATAAATGAACAAGTTTAAGCACCTAGAAGGAGGTAGACATGGGGCATGGGAGAACATCAGAGAGCTGAGTGGGAGGGTACCAAATACATACGTGGCCCAATTAGAAAGATTGTCCCCTTTGCAGGCATCATTACTTCTTCAATTGTAGTACACAGTAATTCATAGGCTCACTGTCACTAGAGCCCAAGAATGAGGCTGGTCCATGGGTTGAGCATGATTAGAAATCCAAAAATCATTGTTTCAGGTTATGAGTGATTATGTTTCTGTATGTCTTTGTGTGTCAATATAAATACACACATTATACATTGTGTACACGAGCAGATTTCTGTAGACACATATACACACATACATACAGTGGTTATGGAAACTTTTGGAGCAGTGGGATACTCTCAAAGGGACATTCTTCTTTCTTACCTAAAAATGATAACATAAAGAATAATGGAATGTTCAAAACCATCTTTAGTCATCTTGCCCAACTGACTCATTTTGCAGATGAGGAAACTGAGGCCCAGAGAGCCCATCGTTTTGTTCTTAATCTCACAGTTTACCTAGTGGGTTCCTGATTCCAGCAGGAATGATTGTCCCTCATCTTCTGTTACCTATTACGTGAATGAACACAAGTTTCAATCATGAAGCTTTATTCACTACATCAGCAAATCTTCCTATACAACCCCTTAAAAATCAATAGCTTGAATAGCTGTCATTTGAATTTTTCCTACAAGTTTTCTGCCTTTCCTCTTGCCCACTCCTTCCCTGAAGTAAATTTTGCAACTGGCAACTTTGAAACTTGTTACAATCCAGCACATTAATAGGGTTTTACATTTTAGCAGCCTGATGATAAGGAGGTGGGGCCTTCTGTTCCAGCCCCTCAGGGGTTTCGATTCTGGGCATTTATTAAACTTTGCTGTAGCCTCAAGTATGTTTGACCTTTTTATATTAAAAAAAAGTTTCAGTTTAAACTTTATACATATATATTGTGTGTATGTACATAGTTCACTCTTCTCCACTGATGAGGTAGATATTCAGACATTATCAACAGTTGAACTTGAAGATACTTGTCAATTATTTCCCTATGTTTGGTAAGGAAGAGAAGCCATTGCTATCATAATTTATTATTATTTTCATCTAGCTAGATTTGAACCCTCTTAAAAATCTTTTCTACTTGGAGGTCTATTTTGCAGTTTAATTAATGTAGCAAGGGTTTTCTTTTTTTTCTTTTTCTTTTTTTTTTTTTAAATTTTACTCTCAATGGAGATAATCCATTCACAGTGACCTTTCCTTGTGCAAATTAATTGTACACGCTTGTTTAAGTAAATGGTCCTTTGCATGACGTCTCTTCTTAATGATGAGTTTATAATCAAAAATTGGCTTATTCCCATATGCCTAGTTTGTGTGAGAATGTAAAAATAGATGTGGACTTGAAAAATATAAATGTATATATCAGTATCCCCAAAAGAGGAGGGAAGAATCCAATGCCTTCAGGCTATGATTAAATTAGACTATTAGAGTCAGAAAGTGCTGGTGACATATGCTACTGTCAAAGTCACCTGTCTGCTGAGCCTGGGAGGCTCTTGAAAAAGGAGAGTGATTTCATCCTGGCTCTGAGAAACTGGGCCTTCACAGGACCTGAGCCATCTCCAGTTTCCCAAGTTTTCTTAAGCTCCAAATGAAATTTCAACTGTGTGTTTAGGAACGTATTTGTGGAAATCATTTTTATTTTTATTTATTTATTTATTTTTAAAAGATTTCTAGTTTAATTAATTAATTAATTTGGCCATGCTGTGCGGCCTGCGGGATCTTAGTTCCCTGACCAGGGATTGAACTCGTGTACCCTACGTTGGGAGTGCAGAGTCTTAAGCACTGGACTGCCAGGGAAGTCCCTGGAAATCATTTTTAAAGTGCTAGCCCTGAATAAAATGAGATGCTTGTTACCTTTCCTGCACTTCACCGGTATAAAGAGACAGGTGACATTCATATTACATTTTGCATTTTTTCAAGTGTAGAAACAGTGTGATACAACTAAATGGTGTTTGAGGAAGAAATCATCTCTTCTGCTGCCCAGGTTCCCACAGGCCCCACCGTTTTGTTTTGTTTTTTACTGTTATTCCTCTTTCCCCATTTCTTGGGCTGGCTCCTTCTCTCTCACCTCCATGCCAACCATTCTTATACAGGAGTGTTTGTCTGGGGTAACAAAATGTTCTTGGTTAAAAGTAGAAACTCCAGCTTGAAGGAGAAACTAAATGTTTTGTGCTTAGAATGGAGGTTTCCTGAGTAGGTTTTAGTAGCATGGGTTTGTGAGGTAGGAAACAAGAACAGCCTTCGTTTTATTGAATGACATGGCATTAAAAAAGAACAACTAGCGGTGAGTACTTTTTAAGCTTATGGGGGCAACCTATTTTCATCCGAGACAAAAATCTGATTTGGGAAGCAAAGGCTGGGCAAGCCGAAATTTTGCTGGGACCATCAGACTTGTCTTTTATGTACTGTTTGCAAAAGGCCGTAATTGCTTTGTCCAGTGTGATGGTTCACATTTCTTCTCCTTCATGCAACAACCCTGCCCACCTCCCGCCCTGGAAAAGTGAGGCTTGCCTGTGTATCGCCCGAGTTGCTCTGGGTAATCTCTGGTAGGTGTGCGCCCACCCCAGGTGTGTTGACTCACCCCTCCCCCGACCCTCTCCCCTGCCCCATTCCTAACGTGTCTTTACTTTATCATGGCTCTTCCTCTTTTTCTAGGTATGATTATCGGGAAATGCTGCACAATGCCACTTTCTGTCTGGTTCCTCGTGGTCGCAGGCTTGGGTCTTTCAGGTTCCTGGAGGCTCTGCAGGTAAGAGACCCTGATCCTCCCCAGAATAGGGCTGAGGACTCAACGTCAGACTGGGGCGGAGTTTAACCGTAGCACTTCTCCTGGGGTCTAAGCCGAACGTGTGGTTTGCCTTAAACACCTGAAATCTGTTTTCCCAAGAAAATCTGCAACATTTTTATGAGTTGAGGGGGGCGGGCGGAGGGAGGATTTACTCCCTGCCTTTGGACATGAGGAGATCCGATGGGACTCTCAAGGGAGTGTGGGTTCTTCAGAGACGTGTTTACAAACAGAGGGCAGATCTGTTTGCCCACCAGGCAGCCGACCTGGGCTCCACGGAGACTCAGCCCTCCTCCTGGAAGCCAGTCTCAAGAGCAATGAAAATGGCTGATGGGTGGTATTTCCCAAAAGCAAAATCGTCGGTTCTGTCCCCATCTCAGTCGTGTCCTCTGACAGGAGAGCTTCCTTCTCTTGAAAGTCTTTTCTGGCATGTTCTATGAACCATACCATTCCTGACATTCCCCTAGCCTCTTGGGATGTTGCATGGAGCAAATTGTTCTCTGCTTTGGATTCTGAGTTATTTGCAACCAGAATTTTGTCATTAGCGTGGTGTTTCTTGGCTCTTAGGTCACTGTGTGGGTAGTAAATTGGTACGACAGTGGTTGGGATCCCTCCACACTGAAGGGAACAAAGTTCAGATGTTTACATGGCTAGGGAAAGGTGAGCACCCTGTAACAGTTTAGTCCACAAAACGCTTTATCAGGAATGCCGAACTGTTCTTTGTTGCTCAGGACATTGGGGTGAACCACTTTGCAAGTGGGCTATGGCAGTTACACTGACAAGGCTGTTCATGTTCAAGGTGGGTTTTACGCTAGGATTTTATTGGTGAACGATTTTGTTACGTCAATAAACCTTCTTCAGCGGAGGCCAGTTGCCTGCATAGAGGTAAGGTCAGCCAAACCATGTACAAGAATAGCAATGGGGTTTTCGCATTCTAGGGCAAGACTTGCAAATAGCAAAATCTCAGCTGGATACAGACAAACTTCATGTGACTTGATAATTCATAAAAGCCCACTTTTCTTCTGACCTCAGCAGTCCAGGATTCATGCCAGTAATTGAATTTGTACCCATTTCACCTATGATTGGAAGGGTTCCTGCTGCCATATTCTTCACAGTCACGAAGTCCCCTTCTTTGCACAGGCCGCCTGTGTCCCTGTGATGCTCAGCAATGGATGGGAGTTGCCATTCTCTGAAGTGATTAATTGGAACCAAGCTGCCGTCATAGGTGATGAGAGATTGTTACTACAGGTAAGGAAGGGGTGGTGGTGGCCTTCAACAGATCAGTGGATTATTGTTGCCCCCGTCCAGACTTTCAAAGAAGATGAATCCAAAAGATCAGCTCTGTAAAAGAAATTTTATCAGGAGAAAATTGCCTGTGTCATGGTGAATATGAAGTCATTTAACATGACATCGTTCACTTCCCAACACACAATCTGCTCAGGTCCAGGGAATATATTCAGAGAAGGAGAAGTTGCAGGTAGACCACACTGAACTCTGATACTGAGAAGAGGTGTGTATCTACCCCCCTCAATATTCAGAATGTTTAGAAATTATACCGGAGAGTTTTTGTACCATCCTGTTGCCACTTTGTACTCCTTTCCCAATTCCGTATCTGCCTTCAGATTAATTTTCAGAAAGAGAGAGGTCTCTAGGGCTGATTCTTATACTTAGTGTTATCATTGCTCAAATGATCTAGTCTGGGTACATGAGTGAGTGTTATCTTTAAGATGTATATTTAAAAGAGCAGCCTCAAAGGAAAATGTATGTTTTTTTAAAAATGTATTTTTGGCCATTTAGATTTTTTTCCATTTAATTTTATTGTTGTAAGAACATGTAATATGAAATCTACTCGTTTAACAAATTTTGACGTGTACTCATTATGGTTGAGTGTAGGTACAATGTGCTACAGCAGGTCTCTAAAGCTTATTCAGCTTGCTTAACTGAAGCTTTATGCCCACTTACTAGTAATTCCTCACTTCCCATCCCCCAACCCCTGGTCACCACCATTCTACTCTTTAATTCTATGAATTTAATTATTTTAGATATCTCTTATAAGTGGACTCATGAATTATTTGTCTTTCTGTGACTGGTTTATTTCACTTAGTATGATGTCCTCAAGGTTCATCCATGTTGTCTTCTATTGCAGAATTAAGACTTACTGATTATTAAAATGTCCGTATTACCCAACGTGATCCACAGATTCAAGGCAATTTCTGCCAAAATCCTCGGCATTTGTTTTTTACAGAAATAGAAAAACAGCTCTAAAATCCATATGGAGCCAGAAAAGACCCCAAATAGCCAAATCAATCTTGAGGAAAAAGAACAAAACCAAGGAATTATAGTCCCTAATTTCAAAATATATTATAAAGCTCCGGTCATCAAAACAGTATGGTGCTGGCATAAAGACAGATATATAGACTAATGGACCAGAATACAGAGCTAAGAAATAAATCCACACATATACATCAACCAATCTTCCACAAGGATGCCTAATAAAAGTTTAAACTTCTCAAGAGCTGCCTGGGAAGGGGGATATGATACTCCCAGAAAAATCCTGGGGCAGGAATACTCAGTCACTGAGGATTTCTAAAGACCCTTTGTGCAATAATGTTTTAGCTTCAACATAAATTGCCATACTCCTTTCTCTAATACGATGGGATATTTTAATGCTTTTATTTCATGGCATTGTACTTTATCTTGAACTATCACAAATATTTGTAAAATGATATTTTTTAATGTCCTTTTTTCAATATGCAGGAAATTCAGTTTCTAACTCTCATTAATTCTACTTCTGTGCTGCTGGCCAGTCTGCTAACTGGCTGGTGAAATAACTCAGTACTCTCCCTAAAGTAACAGTGGAATATCTGTAACCAAGAGGACCATGAATTAGGCAAGCCAAGCTGAACGCAGCTCCTAAAACATGCCTTGTGTCTGGTACTCAGATCTGTGATTTCCAAGGCCCCTGGGACCTCAGAAGCAAGAGGAGGACACGTGATCTAGTATAGTTCTCCCCACACAGAGATGGTGTTGTGCCTAAAACATTCACTCACGACAGGCCAAACAAAAGTGATAGATGTGGTTCTTTTCCATGTTGCCTTTTTCCTTCCTCTTATGATTTTTTTTTTTTTCTTTTTGCGGTACGCGGGCCTCTCACTGTTGTGGCCTCTCCCGTCGCGGAGCACAGGCTCCGGACATGCAGGCTCAGGGGCCATGGCTCACGGGCCTTGCCGCTCCATGGCATGTGGGATCTTCCCGGACTGGGGCACGAACCCGTGTCCCCTGCATCGGCAGGCGGACTCTCAACCACTGCGCCACCAGGGAAGCCCTCTCTTATGATTTTTAAAAACTAATGCATGCTCATTAAAGGAAATTTAGGAAAGAAAGGGAATAAAAAATACCAGCCATAATTTCTCCATTTATGTACCAGTGCTCCCGTGAATTTGATGTGACTAAGTTGGGAGTCTGTCTTTGAGAACGGAGCGTGTTCCAGGATACTGAATTGTGGTTGTCTGGTCTCTACCCTTTCAGCAGAGTTGATTCCCCAGAAGCATTTCACCTTCTGAGGCAACATTTTGGCTTGATGCTGGGGATTTCGTTTTTCATTCTGCACCTACTCAAACTTGCTGGCATTTTCCTCTCTCATATGCAGTCTGTCTTTGCACAGCTGCCTCCATATTGAATGATGACTGCACTGTCATTGACAATGGTTTTAAAGAACTGGCACCCAGCCCAAATGTCTGCCCTGGGAAATGTTTTTGTTATGTTACCATTTTTCATTTCCTGTTTTAGAACAGCTCAGGTGTTTTTATTTGCATGTATTCTTGTTGTCATGTCACCAAGAGAGCTTACTGTTGCTTTCCTATATCTATCTTGGTAGATTCCATTAGTTCCGTTACCATGCATAACCTTTTATTAAGACTTCACTGAGTTCTGCAACTTTGAACAAAATTGGAATTAATTTATCACTTTCCCATACCTGTCTCTCGGGACAAGCAGATTAAGAACCAGTAGCCAAATGCCATTAAAATTGGAACTCTGTCTTTTTAATCAATTGGAATTATCTTCCAGAGCACTTTGAAGAGTGCTGTCAGACACTTGTATCATATGCACAAATGGGTAGGATATATTTCACTTGATGTAGTAACGTCAGGATGTGGCTAATAGAAGAGAGGGGCTGTATTGGTAGGCTCATCTGTGCTATCCCTTTCTGCCTTCATAACCACAGCCTACTCAGTTTTCTGGAGAGCACATCGTGATGATAGCTTTTGACATTTTTCTAATGGACTGGTTCCTCATGATCATAATGAAACAGTCTACCTGTATGACTCTTAGAAAATACCACTGACATTCAGAAGAGGGCATGATTATGAAAATTGAGGAGGGTAATTTTTTTCTAGTCTTTCTTGGGCAATCTGAGTAATTTTCTCAGTAAATAAAAATAAATGTTCTTTGGCTTATGAAGCATCCATGATCTGAATGGTTTCTCTACCTCCTTCAAGGATATTTTATTTCCACTTGACCTTGAGCTCTGGTTTCAGGCTAATGTTTCTCCTTTACCTGTTGCCTCCATGCTGCTTCAGTGTTGGGAATCCAGATACCCACTTTGGGGCTGCACATTGAGTATCTGCTTCTGGACATTGCCAAAGGAAGTGAACTTGTCCTCACGTAGATATTGTGAAGCAGTTCTATGGCTTCCCGTAAGTGTGGTCTTGAATCAAAAAATATGCTCCAGGGCTTCCCTCGTGGCGCAGTGGTTGAGAGTCCGCCTGCCGATGCAGGGGACGCGGGTGCGTGCCCCGGTCCGGGAAGATCCCACATGCCGCGGAGCGGCTAGGCCCGTGAGCCATGGCTGCTGAGCCTGTGCGTCCAGAGCCTGTGCTCCGCAACGGGAGAGGCCACAGCAGTGAGAGGCCCGTGTACCGCAAAAAAAATAAATAAAAAAAACTGCTCCTACTTCCTTCGCCACCACTGGAAATTCAGATGTAGTCTTAGTCACAATGCCATGGGTAACTTTCTTACTAAAGCAGCTAGTGGAGCGTTCCTGCTTCCGTCCAGGCTCCCGTGCCTGTCTGATTAATTACACATTAGGGAGGCAAGCATGCAGAAAGAGGTGAGCACAAAAGGACAGTTGCTAATCACAAGGAGTCTCCCCTAAGTATGGACTCCACAAATGAAATAGCCTTTGGGCTACAGGTGAAGAGAGGGAGCAAACCGAGGAGACTCACCAGACACCCAGGAGGTACATTTCAGAGCTCCAGACCCAAGCAAGTTCACATGCAGACATTAAGCAATTGGTCTGTCTTTGAATATCATCAGCCTTAAGTCAATAATAATAGTAGTGGTAATAATTACTTTGTTAATAAAGCTTCCCATGTGCTAGGCATTGTGCAAAGCACTTATGTGATCTTCATAACAACCTTATGATGTATGTTAGTACTATATCATTTTATAAGTGAAGAAATGAAATCTTTGAGAGATCATGTAACTTGTCCAGGGAAGCAGGGCTAGTAAATGGCAGAGCCAAGACTCCCACTGTGGTCTAACTCCCATGTTCCTGTGCTTAACCACTGAGTTATACTGCTAGTGAAAATAATGATATCCCTTTGGTGGCTTCAGATGGCCACGTTCAATTCCACTTCTATTTATTGAATAACTACAACAGGCATACCTCGCTTATTTTATGCTTTGTAGATGCTTTTTTTTTTTTTCAACGAATTGAAGGTTTGTGTCAACCCTGTGTTGTCAGATGATGGTTAGTGGGGACGTTTTAGTAATAAGTTTTTTTTTTTTTTTTTTTTGCGGTACGCGGGCCTCTCACCGCTGCGGCCTCACCCGTCATGGAGCAACAGGCTCCAGACGCGCAGGCTCAGCGGCCATGGCTCACGGGCCCAGCCGCTCCGCGGCACGTGGGATCTTCCCGGACCAGGGCACGAACCCGCGTCCCCTGCATTGGCAGGTGGACCCTCAAACACTGCGCCACCAGGGAAGCCCCTAGTAATAAGTATTTTTAATTAAGGTTACCTTGTGTTTTTAGACATTATGCTATTGCACACTTAATAGACTGTAGTGTAACGTAACTTTTATATGCACTGGGAAACCACACAAGTTTTGTGTGACTCGCTTTATTGCGATATTTGTTTTATTGTGTTGGTCTAGAGCTGAACACACAGTGTCTCTGAGGTGTACCTACACATAAAAGCCACTCTCCTAGCTATAAAAAGTGTGGCAGGATGGACAGGGCATAGATCCCCCCTTAAAAATTGTGCAGCCTGGTAGAGAGCAGTGATGGTTAAACATGTATGACAGATTGTGTTAGTTTGGTGTTAGTGCTGCAGCCACAAAGAGAAGCCTGGGGAGCAGAAAGCTCTCAGGGAGAGGCAGGAGATACATGCACATAGAAATGACTACCCCAGCTGCATATTAAATGGAGAGACTCAGAGACATTCCCTAAAAAGCCTTTTCGTAGATCATTTGTAGTCCCTGCGTGGTGTGCCTTAGAGGTGCTTGGGGTATGATGTCTCTCAGCCTTGCTGCAAGGCTGTAGCTCCTTCTCTGTAGTACTTGGTTGTCCATGGGCAGGATCAAGGATGTGTGGGAATCTGAGAAGAGAAAACAGCAAAACCTACTGTAGGAACACCCTAAGCAACTGATAAGCTGCTACCAAATCTTAGAAGCGAGCTCTAACTCTCGTGCATTTAAGGTCCTTAAAGCTGATTCCCAGTAAGTGCTGTTTGTAGCTGACACCTCTGAAGGGCCTTTCAATTTAGGGGTTGGTGATTTTTAGTAGATCTGTATGCTAGAAGCTGAAGGCTATGAAGAATAAAAGCCTAACCCAAGTGGGTTATTTTGATCAAATGGCATCTTATTGTTATCCGGTTATAGTTATTATGTGTTCACTTTGTGTTACAGATTCCTTCTACAATCAGGTCTATTCATCAGGATAAAATCCTAGCACTTAGACAGCAGACACAATTCTTGTGGGAGGCTTATTTTTCTTCAGTTGAGAAGATTGTATTAACTACACTAGAGGTAAGTGAGACCACTTGGTTCTTGGTCTTGAATAATGGTCCTTTATATGTTTCTCTCAGCCTTCTCTTTTGCTATTAGTGATGTGTAATTGGTCAAATGGGGCGAAACCGAACCTTCTGTACTTGAATGTGTCAGTTAACCCCTTTTTACCTGCTCTGCCGTGCCCAAGCAAAGACCTCCATTCTTGACAGACTCCAATGAGGAAAGCTGACATAGGAGAAATTACACTCCTTGACACAGAGATGGGCTCTGTCTTACATCGTTTCAGAGACAGGTAGCTAATGACTGTCCTCCTGTCATTCACACTCAATGGCATCCTTTGAAAGCATATTTCTGGAGCCCACTTAGGAAACAGATAGTGACCAAGTAGGGGAAAATCTTCTCCCATTCTAAAAATATGAATAGTTTACTGGGTACTGTAGTCCAATGGCATTAGGATACAGCCAAATTTATTCTCAAGACATATGCGGCCCAGCTAGCATCATTGCTGCAAGGATGTGTTAAGAAGAAAATCAGGATTACACCCATCTGGTACAGAAAGTGTTAAACTTTATGAGATCAGAAACTATTCTAGACAGATGGGTGCCCATCTTCGAGTTGCCTTTTTTAAGGCAGGAGGAAAAAAGGAAAGGGAAGCATGGAGATGATTAAAACCTTTGGAAGTAGAGCAGATAGCGATGGCCTGAGGCTACACCAAAGTAGCACAAAGAGCTGAGAAAAGATTTCTGGATCTGCACACTCATGAGTTACAGGAAGGAGAGCAGAGGTCCTCAGGTGAAGCACAGCATCAAGGTGATTCTGAGGTGTCCACCACGAGAAGTAGGGGCATTTGCGGCCTCACTTTTGAAATATTTTCTTTGGAAAAGTTATTACTGCTCCAAAAGCTAATGTAATTGGGAGTATACACTATGCTAAGTCTGAAAAATACCAAGAAAACTGAAGTCATCCTGTTTTGTGCCATTGCTGTTGTCTTGCCATCCTGGGTACCAGAGCCAACTCTGGTCATACCCCAGGCACACTGTGGGGCTTACCTACCCTGAGCCTAGCCTGGGCCTCCTGCTTTTGCGGGGCCAGGCTCTATCCCAGTGTCCTCTTGTAAATGGGTTGTGTCGTTTTCATCCTGGAACTAAGTGAAAAGGGCTATTTAGGACCCAGGTTTCCCCATGAAGGGGGATAGGGTAGAATGCCTTCCAAGGGCTTCCTTATTACAAGCAAATTTCTCTTATTCCTCCAAAAGCACTCTCCTCAATGAAAATTGATTGGGTTTTTACTTCTGTACATAGCAGCAGATTTGAATATGTAATAAATTTGAACCTTTTCTTTGATCCTGTCTTCCGTCTAAGACCCTTCCTAGGCCCTTCTTAAGGAAAGTTGAATGTCACTTGTTTTGGGTTTTGTTTGTTTGTTTGTTTGCTTTTTGGAATGAGTGCTTTTTATCAAAGAAGTGCATATTCCTTTTAGAAAATAATAGAAAATACTTATAGCACAAAAATAAAATAATCTACCCATACAAATCACTATTGACATATATACACACATATAAACATATTCATTTTTTTCTATGCAAATGCATAAATATGTTGTCATTTTTAATTTAAAGAGGAGTTTTTCTATACTTAGTTTATAACCTGTTTTTTCTGCTTAATAATTATTCCTAGTATCTCATTAGATTTTACTACAATTATTTTAATGGCTATATAATATTCCATTCATGATGTCACTTAATTCCGTTAATTAATCCCCAGTTTGAGGCTATTAAAATTGTTTCTGGTTTTCAATTATTATATACATCATTGAAGCTAATAGCCTCAGTGCCAAGTTGTTGTGCAGATTCAAGATTACTTCCTTAGGATAAATTCCTTGAATTCAAAGTCCTGGCTCAAACAATATGCCAAATGCTAAGATTTCGAATATGAACTGTCAATTTTCCTGCAATAGAATTCAACTAATTTATATTCCCTCCAGCTTATATGAGAGAACCTATTTTAATTGTATTTATTTTTTTCACTTTCACCATATTGGACATTATATCCTTAAAAATGATAAGTCATTATTTTCTTAAGATCTTAGTAAGAATGAATATTTCTTGTATGTTTCTTGCTCATGCAGCTCACACAGAAAGAAATAGAAGTGGCCACAATGTTGTCCCACTTTTCTCATTAATTTTTAAGAGCTTATTAGGTTTAAAAATATTAACCTTTGATTCTTTTGTAGCAAATATTTCCCCCCAATTTGTGGTATGCTTTCTGTTTTGTTTATCGTGGGGCAATCTTTTCATCTCCAGCTTTTCCATTTGCTACTGTTTAGAAAGGACTTTTTGACCCATAATTTTATTTATGTGCAACACACGTACACATTAGTATTTTCTAGTACTTTCATGGTTAATTTTTTACATTTAACTATTTAAGCCAATTTACTTTTATATATGGTCTGTGTTGAAAAAGCTAAACTTTTTTTTTTTTTGACAAATTTTTCTGCAGTTGCTCCAATACATTTCCTTTTTTTTTTTTTTTTTTTTTTTTTTGCCATACCACACAGCTTATGGGATCTTAGTTCCCAGACCAGGGATTGAATCCAGGCCCTCGGCAGTGAGAGCACAGAGTCCTAACCACTGGACTGCCAGGGAATTCCCCTGATATATTTCTTAAGTTATTCTTTCCTCAGTGTTTTCACATGCCACTTTTATGCATCTTTGGCTATACATCCAGACCACATGTTTTCATTTTTTCACCCTATATTCCATCCCTTAGTGAACCTCTATTTATTTAACCAATTCGCTATTGTTGACTATTAATGTTATTTCTAATTATTTCTTTTTTAGAGATAGAGATATCTTTATCCAACCAATGCCCTTCTACATGTATCTTAGACTATGTCTTTATTTCTTTAAATGGAGTCCTTGAAATGAGATTACTCAACCCAAGAGTCCAGGCGTGACTAAGACTCATGATAGGTATTGCCAAATTACTCTTCAAAGAGGTTGAATCAATCTAGATTCTCACAGGCCATCTGGGGGACACCCTCTCTTACTATATCCTTGTCAGCCTTCAGAATCATAATTAAAACACACACACAGCTTTGTTAATTTGCCAGATGAAAGATGGTATCTCATTAATTACATTTCTTTTGAGTATGGTTTATTGCATAGCTCTGGTCTCTTGCCTATTAAGTTAGCAGTACTCAATTATCTTATAATAACAGTTGGATGTGTTATATTCACCAGCATAGGATCTTAAGTCAAGCTTTTTTCATCTCTGTGACTGGAAAGCCGTTTTCCCCTTCGATTTGAGCCATGCAGTTCTTTAGAGACACAGTTTTTTTGTTTTTTTTTCTTAATAGATCTTTATTGGAGTATAATTGCTTCACAATACTGTGTTAGTTTCTGTTGTACAACAAAGTGAATCAGCCATATGCATACATATATCCCCATATCCCCTCCCTCTTGAGCCTCCCTCCCACACTCCCTATCTCACCCCTCTAGGTCATCGCAAAGCACCAAGCTGATCTCCCCGTGCTATGCGGCTGCTTCCCACTAGCTAACTATTTTACATTTGGTAGTATATATAAGTCCATGCCACTCTCTCACTTCGTCCCAGCTTACCCTTTCCCCTCCCTGTGTCCTCAAGTCCATTCTCTACATCTGTGGCTTTATTCCTCTCCTGCCCCTAGATTCTTCATAACCTTTTTTTTTTTTTCAGATTCCATATATACGTGTTAGCATACAGTATTTGTTTTTCTCCTGACTTACTTCACTCTGTATGACAGACTCTAGGTCCATCCACCTCACTACAAATAACTCAATTTTGTTTCTTTTTATGGCTGAGCAGTATTCCATTGTATATATGTGCCACATCTTCTTTATCCATTCATCTGTCGACGGACACTTAGGTTGCATCCATGTCCTGGCTATTGTAAATAGTGCTGCAGTGAACATTGTGGTACATGTCTCTCTCTATTTTTTTTTTTAATTTTTGAATTTTATTTAATTTATTTTTTTTATACAACAGGTTCTTATTAGTTAACCACTGTATACATATTAGTGTATATATGTCAATCCCACTCTCACAATTTATCCCACCACACCCCTCTGCCACTTTCCCACCTTGGTGTCCGTACGTTTGTTCTCTACATCTGTGTCTCTATTTCTGCCCTGCAAACTGGTTCATCTGTACCACTTTTCTAGGTTCCACATATATGTGTTAATATACGATATTTGTTTTTCTCTTTCTGACTTACTTCACTCTGTATGACAGTCTCTAGATCCATCCACGTCTCTACAGATGACCCAATTTCGTTCCTTTTTATGGCTGAGTAATATTCCATTGTATATATGTACCACACCTTCTTTATCCACTCGTCCATCAGTGGACATTTAAGTTGCTTCCATGACCTGGCTATTGTGAATAGGGCTGCAATGAACATTGGGGTGCATGTGTCTTTTTGAATTATGGTTTTCTCTGGGTATATGTCCAGGAGTGGGATTGCTGGGTCATATGGTAATTCTTTTAGTTTTTTAAGGAACCTCCATACTGTTCTCCATAGTGGGTGTATCAATTTACATTCCCACCAACACTGCAGGAGGGTTCCCTTTTCTGCACACCCTCTCCAGCATTTGTTGTTTCTAGATTTTCTGATGATGCCCGTTCTAACTGGTGTGAGGTGATACCTCATTGTAGTTTTGATTTGCATTTCTCTGATAATGAGTGATGTTGAGCAGCTTTTCATGTGCTTCTTGGCCATCGCATGTCTTCTTTGGAGAAATACCTATTTAGGTCTTCAGCCCATTTATGATTGGGTTGTTTGTTTTTTTTTTAATATTGAGCTGCATGAGCTGCTTATATATTTTAGAGATTAATCCTTTGTCCGTTGATTTGTTTGCAAATATTTTCTCCCATTCTGAGGGTTGTATTTTTGTCTTGTTTGTAGTTTCCTTTGCTTTGCAAAAGATTTTAAGTTTCATTAGGTCCCATTTATTTATTTTTGTTTTTCTTTCCATTACT